ATACACTCAATTTATCAATATGTATAAGCTGCATTTTTTGCATGTAATTTTTGTTGAGATTGTCCCACGTTAGTTGTGGATAAGGTTGGTATTCAGTTTATAAGTGTGAGGAAAAGTCTCATCTCTTTGAGTTAGCTTTTGGGATGAGAGAAGCCCAATAGACCACTCAACACTGGTATTAGAGCCCGATTTATCAACAATTCTCCGATCCAACAATCATGGAGATACGGGTTTGGCCTCCGGCTAGACCCAATGTGTGGGGAGAGATGTGTTTGATTTCCGGCAAAACTCAATGTGCGAGGGAGATATTGTTGAAATTGTCTCACATCGATTGTGGATGAGGTTGATATTCAGTTTATAAGTGTGAGGGAAAGCCTCACCTCTTTAGCTAACTTTGGAGGTGAGAAAGACACAATATCACCCAACAATTTTTAAGCAAGTTTTGCAAGTTCTTGTTTAACTTCTAGTTCCTACTGGATATACCATAAGTAAATTTTGTTTACGGATTTGAGCTTTTTATCTTGTGATTAAATATATGTCCTGTATTTTGCTCAAGATCAATATAACATACTTGATAAAAATAAATAAAGAGCAACCGGCAAAAGTTATACTTTTGTTAACGATAATTTAATGATTAAGCTACCAAAGTTCCAACACTTTCCATTTCAATTATTCTTTAAGCTACTCGATTAAGCTGTTTTCATATTAATCTGGGCAGAAAAATAATCAATTATAAGAGATTTTGTCAAGGTGTTATGATAGAGAAAAAAATAGACGTTATTTAGAGTACCGTCTAGATTTAGAACCTCTAATAGCATGTAGGTATCCCGAGAGATGTTGAATTAATCGAGCTCGACTCACTCACCGTCGAGTAGGGCTCTGCCCGTTAGGCAAGCAGAGCGTGAGCTAACTAGTTTTTAAAAAATAATAATAAAATTATTTGACTCTACTTCGATAACACCATCAACTTGTCATTTTGACTTTTCTTATTTTTTCATAAAAATTGTATTTCACCCACTTATGATGAGTTGGCTCGTACGAAAACTTAGTTAATCGACTCGTTGATGGGTTGAGCCGAGCCAACAAACAACTCACTTCACGTGACATCCATAGTAAGTTCACATAAAAGATGCCATGTAATAAGGAACTAGAAAAGATAGCGAAGAAAATTGTTACGTTTTCTTCTTCTTCTTCCTTTTTTTTATTTTTTTTCTTTAATGAAATTGTATTTGGCTTAAAGTTTAAATATCCATAGATTATATTGCATGTGTAGTTTAAAGAGTGATACAAGTGTGGAAAGAGTCATGATGAAAAGCTAATTGATGGTCTGACAAACACAATTTTCCGCATGAAACCTTGATCAGAAAAAAAAAGTAACTAAAGGAAATGTAGTTATAAGCCAAAAGCATGCACATTTTTTTAAATAAACATGATTTTTTTAATTTGTAGATAAAAAGGTTGTCCCATATCATTACAACCAAAATCACAACAATAATATATATTTTGTTGGTTCAAACTACACATCTACCCACCATGTTGACCCCTGTAAAAGGGAAAAAGGAGAAACAAACTATGCAATCAAAGTTAGACTGCCATTCCAAGGTGATCAAATTTCACAAAATTAGGTTAAATAATTAAACAAATTTGAATTATTTTAGATAAAGAATTGTTCAATATATAATTTTAACTAGATAAATAATCTTTTTGTAATAATAAAGTCTCATCATCAACCGGAGTTAGTCACAAACGATGACATCGAAAATTCAATTAATTGAAATCAATTGAAAATGTGTTCATGAACAATAAAAAGAAAAGTACAATATATGCACTTGACTGCATTTTCTTTTTATCATATTCCCAACTTATCGCATACGAACAAGTTGAGGATAATACCCTTCAAATCTTGAGATTTGATAATAGTATATTTATTACGTTAGATATGTGTTAAAGTAAAAACAAGATTATATACTTGTCCGAAAATGATCTATGATATATCATGTCACTCTTACTTAACATAAATTAAGAAACAATATTGCTTAAGGGATCATTTATCTATATTTGTTATGGAAATTGCTTAAATTATAAATTTTGAAATAGAATTGGTGTGGCAGATGACTGGGATGGAAGATAAATGTCTCCCTTCTGAAATTAAAATTAAGAAAAAAAATTTTTTATTTATGTCATCAGTTTCTTGAAAATTGTGACAATTTATTTCTGTGGCCCCTTTCATGCAGTACCATTATTAACCCAATCCTTCCCACTCTCTCTAGCTTGTGGAAAGTTGAACAAACACTTTCATGGGATCAGTAAATAACTGTAAATGATAATTAATATTTCATTAATAAAAATAAATTATTCTAAATATTTTTTTAAAATATTATTTTATTCTTAAAAAAATATTGAAAATAAACAAAAACTTAAAGACGGGGAAGGCAATGAAATGGATAATTACAAATGGAATATGGATGAGAAGTGAAGACAAAAAAAACTAAAGATGAAACAAAGAGTCTTTAAATACATGTTGGATTGTGGAATAAAGGAAGGGATAATGAAGAATAAAGTAACAATTGGATAACTTAATGAAGAGAATTCTCCTGTTTTTATATAAAGAATATCCAAGTGCTAGATGCATTTGTTTTCAACCAAAGTGTACATAGAGCATCTTAATTTGTTTTATCTACCGTTTCGCGTCTTTACAGCTTCTTTCGAACTAGCTGATTGAGACTTTTTCGATAAAAATATTTAATTGATCAAAAAGAGTTGCGTACTAAAGAATGTTACGACTAGATATTGATAAAGAGTATAAAAAATAGAGTATTTGATAATGATACTCAAAGTCCGAACTATTATAATTCACTTGTACCCTTAATTACTCAGCTCCAATAAGAAATTGAGCTCCTAATAAATTGGTAACTTGGAAATATTGACACAAAGTAAAAAATTAATACGAAAAAAATGATGCAAAATCACATCATACATAAGGACGTCTATAAATGACACTAAATCCGGTAAACTTATTTTGAACACACAATTGATGCACTTATTGTTACTTTATCTTTCATACTTGCAACTCACTTGACGTAAATGTGACTGCAGATTCGAAGTCTAAACAAGATTTTAGTTGCAACGAGATCTTTAACACTTTCGATAAAAAGAACTTATTTTTGCCCTCTTTCAAATAGTTTGCTTTGGATTTAGTCATTTAGATAAAGCAATTCAGGTACTAATTACCAAACTGAAGAAAACTGGTGGCTGGCTCCCAAACACAGCGATTTCAAGGGGTGCGTGTCAATGCAAAACGGCCCAAATTTACATTCATTATCATTTTTATAGGAAGATAAATTTACATTAATTATCAACTATGCTTGTAAATGCCCTTTACCAATCTTTGAATAAATCAGAAAGATCACTTATTATACATAAAATGCTAATATTATCATTGGTTGCAACTGTTATTTTCTTAAGCTTTCGTAGACAATGCATTGCCAAGAAAGGCGATACAAGGAATAAGGATTTGCTCGATTCAAAATGAGAATTCGTTCTATAGATTTATCAAGAACCATGTCTTTGGTAAATTCTTGATTCATAAATAATTAGAAAATCAAGTTGCTTGAAAAATAGGGGAAAAAATATGAATTTATGAAAGATCCCACCATTCATGTGATGAAATGAAATTCCATGAAACTTGAATTCTAAGAGGACATCATTGTCACATGGAGTATTCCTTTTCATGATAAAATCACACAATTTAAATAAAAGAATAAATTAGTATTTGAATGCCTACACAAACATATAAAAGTACTTTTGGCGAAAAATTATGACAAGTTTCCTCCCCTTGGAAAGTCTGTTGCCACAAGAAATATCCACTTTCATCTTTCCTAATTTCAGCTAAAAAAAACACAATAATCACAGCCACCTTCTGCCCTGGATTTACACCATCTATCCAGCATCATCATTTTCATGTATATATATATACATACACACACGAAAATGATCTCATAAATACCGGTGCTTAATTTATGTTAAGTCTCTTTTAGAAAACCATGAGGAGCCTGGAGCGGTTTGTTTGCCAGGACATACTGAATTGTTGTGAGTCGAGACGATTACTCAAGTTCAAGAATCGGGATCACCTGATCCTGGAGCTTTGGATTAAGTTGAACGTGGACGAATGACAACTTCAAATAAACATAATGTAAATTAATAGTGTTTTTTTTAGTCAATTATTAAATTTGTGACCTTACTGGGTTTTTAAGTTTTTACAGAATAAGGTGTGACAATTTTTAAGTCCAATAAATAATCACATGAGATACATGAGTCAGAGTTCGTATTTATGGGGGTAGTTTTGCATTAATCAACATTGTAAATATATCATGAGTGACATAATGAGACACAGAAAGCATTGCATGAATAGGATTTGCACGTCGACCAAGAAATTATGAGTTTTTTTGTAAAATTTCTCTAAAAACCATTTATTATCTCATTCATTCTTCTTTTTCCAAAAAACCAATGGATGATCCTATGATATATTTTAAATTATTCCTTGTGAATGTATGAGGAATTTTTGAATAAGATTACACATTTAATGGTCGTGTAAGATTGGAAGTTTTAAGAGGACAGTAATGACTATGAGTGACTCGGGAAATGAACCCATAAGCCTGTTCGGAGCCTTCGGTACCCTAAAATGGATGTTAATTTGTGTTATCCTAAAGAAATCCAGTAAAGCAAAAGATACAACTCCCCAACAGCTCTTGCCTGTCAACCTACAGTAACAATTTACATATTTGAACTCAGCAAAATTCAAAACTTTAGTTGTTATTACTCTTAGGAATGCTATATTTTGCTAAATTAATTTGAAGATCATCTCTCTCTCTCTCTCTCTGACACACACACAGACACACAATTCTTCCTTTGTCTCTCTGACACACACACACACACACATTGCTCTCTCTATATGGCCTGAACTTGATGCCTGGTAGTAGTGCAAGCGAAGCAAATGCAAAGTAGCAAAAACCCCACTTTATTTATTTTTATTTTTTATTACTCTCTAAAACTCACTTGGTGATTCCTCTTTGTCCGTAAAAAATCTGCTTTTTTCCATCTCTCACTCTCTCCTCTCAACCCTTTTTATGCTCCTCACTACAGCTATAACCTCATGTTTTGTCCTTCATTCACTTCTCAAACAACCTGCAAGACACTCTCTCTCTTTCTTGTTCTTCTCTCTTCTTCTGTTCTTCATAACCTTCACTAGTAACAATTTTTAATTCTAAAACCCCTTGAATTTTCTTAGCTCTGAAAACACCATTTCTAAGTGTTTTTGTCTTTTGCCATTGAAGGTGTGTTTGCTTAGCTTCAAGATTATCATTTTCTGGGCATTTTCTTCTTCTTTGCTGTGTGTACTACAATTTACATATAACCTTCTAACTTTTGAACATCATTTTCTTCTTTCAGGAACCCTGTAATGAGTAAGTGTTGACCCTTCACTCTATTTAGTTCAATTCCTTCTCAAGAAATACAGATAGTGAAGTATTTGAAGAGAGAAACAAGGGATAGGTTCTCATTATGGCCAGCTGTTGTCAATATCCACACTCATATTTGTTTATTTTGATTTGACGAAGGTTTTGTTTCCTAGTTTTGTAGCGTTTGCTCCAAAAAGAGAAGAAAGAAAAAACATCTTAGGTATTCTTTAGTCCGCAGCCAACTACATTAATTTAATCATTTAGCCGTTGTGACTTGTTCAATCTCTTTTGGTCTCCAAAAAAAGAAAAAACATAGTAAAAAAGGCAAAGAGATAGAGAGAGAGGGGAGCTAGAAATGGAAATGCCAAGTCAAGAAGTGGAGATTCCAATTCCAATAAACATCACATATGGTGGGGGACATGGCCATGGGCACATGATCCATCATGACTCTGCAGCCCACAATCGTATTATACCTGCAGCTTCAGCATCCCTTCAAATGCCATCAAATGGCCCCATATCCTCCATGCTTGAGGACCATGTGCCGTACAAGAAAATGGTTAGGTACAGAGAGTGCCTTAAAAACCATGCAGCTTCCATGGGTGGTAACGCCACTGATGGCTGTGGAGAATTTATGCCTAGTGGAGAAGAGGGCACTTTAGAAGCCTTAACTTGCTCAGCCTGTAACTGCCACAGAAACTTCCACAGAAAAGAAGTTGAAGGGGAGCCTTCTCCTAGTGATTTCTATCAAAATCCAAGAGTGGGAAGGAAATATTTTGTAGGACACCACAAGGGGATTTTGGGGTCTGAAGCATTAGGGTACCATACTGGGTCACTGATTTCCTCTAGAGCAGTGGCACCACATCAGATGATAATGTCCTACGACATGGGGTCACTGCCTTCGGAGTCAGATGAGCAGGAGGAAGGTGATGGCGGCGGCGGCGGTGGCGGTGGAGGTGGTGGGATGGTGGCCCGGCCACCTCAGCTGGTGAAGAAGAGGTTCAGAACAAAATTCACTCAAGAGCAAAAGGAGAAAATGTTCAACTTTGCAGAGAAAGTTGGATGGAAAATACAAAAACAAGAAGAATCCGTGGTGCAACAATTCTGTCAAGAAGTTGGGGTCAAAAGAAGAGTACTAAAGGTTTGGATGCACAACAACAAGCACAATCTTGCCAAGAAAAACCTTCAATCCAATGATCAAAACCCAGTTTAAGAACAAATTCAAAGAGTAATTTTCGAAGTTCTTGTCAACTAAAAGTACTTATAATTATTTTATTTTCTTCTTATTTTGGATTTCTCACTTTTCCTTTAGTTGGCTAGTTATATATATCTTATAATGACACTGTTTATGTAACTTAGTTTTGGAAACTGCCTTTGGTCACGAGTGATTTCATTGCAGAATGAAGTTTTCTCAAACTTCTCTGAGTATCTACAGTGTATGTTGAAAATGATTACTTCAGTAATATTATTATTATTATCACCCTTTGGATTTGCTTCCTCACTGTTTTTATCCATTTCCATAATAGTCTAATATTATATCAAGAAGCTGCTGTAAAATTTGACCAAGTTTTACACTGATCTATCGACCATAACCATCTTCTTTTACTCAGGTTTGGAGACCACCAACAAGCGTCTTTCTTTTACTTAGGTTTAGAGACCACCAGCGGTGAAAAGTACAGGCAGAGTTTAATGTTTAATCGAAGCCAATATGTCACGCCCACATTATTATTTAGCATAACCCTATTAAAATTTGACTCATGTTCAGCAATATATATATATATATATCAATCAAGGATAATCATTTGCATAAATTGCTTTGAATACGTAAATCAATGCCATGGCGACCTTAATTAGTAGGAGAAATTAATTGAAATCAAGTTAAAATCACGTAAAATGAATAAATATTCGTGTTAAACGGCTTCGGGCAAATAGGTCACGAACA